AAGTTGGGGAGGTTTGATAAGTCTATTTTATGAATGTACTAAATTGTCATAAATCTGTTGAATTGATGTATAATTGTCCAAGAATGGCACTACTTTGATGAGTTGTTGAACTTCATATGCAGGTCAATATATCATACTAAAAGTGGGCGGAACCTGCAAGTCAAACGGTCAGCATCTAGTCAAATTTCGGAGCAGAAAAAGAAAGAGAAGGGTCCGTCGGCATCCTACATGGCGTCTAAGACGTCCCCTAGGACGTCCAAGCATTTTAGGGGCGTCCCGTGTTGGAACGGTGTGTTTCGGAAAGTTTGGAAATCAAGGAAGGACGTCCTAGAACGCGTCTAAGACGTCTCCTAAGACGTCTGACGTTTTTGGCCATTTTTTAGTGTATTTCAAGGACGACAGAAGGCATGTAAAGACGTACAAAGAACGCCTTGCCGTTATACACGACGTCTAAGACGTCTCCTAGGACGTCCAACGCCACATCGCCGATTCATTATTTTTTTGTCACACAATATAAAATAGGACTTATGCATTCGTTTTTAGGGTTACCACCTACGATTTTCAGAGTTTTTCCTGTGTTTATAAGGCTTCTAAAACCCTTGGAAACATTTGGAAACACAAGTCCATTCCATTTCAATCCGGATTCAAGGCAAGATTCGATTTAATTCATCATCAAGCAACATTTGAAGATCATTCAACTGGTGATTCTCATCAATTCTAGTAATTTTCAGAAACGATTACTTCCTCCCAAGGTTTATTTGTTTCGTATTTTGATAATCATTAGGCTACATTTGTTTGATGATTCTAAGTTTGATTATGAATTCTATTATGCATTTCATTTATTTTATCCAAGTTAGTTTTTATGAACTCAATGGAAGGCTAAATCATTAGGGTTACTCCCGGGGATGTTTAGGACTTTTGGATGAACACACTTGATTATTACTTGATTCTAGTTAATTTCAATTGTTGTTTTATGCTTTATGTGATGATCTTTGGTAATGATAATTGAAATTGGGTTGTATGAATTGTTTGATGTCATAATTAAGATAGTCTATTGTCAATTCATCATTTGTTCCAAGTTCAATTAGTTTAGGAATAAAGACAAGTGATTGAATCAACATATATTATTCCAACTTATGATATTGAATCTTAATGCGGTAATAGGTAGTTGTAAGACATTTTATTGCTAGTTCACTAATTGTTTCTAATCCATTTAGACATAAATGAGTAAGACAACTAGTTGAATGAACATCTAGTGTGCCCAAAACTATGTATTACAAGTTAATAAACCCCAATTGCATCTAAGTAATTGAATTCGGATTTAAGGGAAGAAAGTGTGTGAATCTAAACTGTCTGTAACTGAACCGGGAGTACTCTAGTTTTCTCATTGACATTTTTGTTTTAATTAATAAATTTCCAAGCTTTTTATTTGATCATTTGATTTAATCTTTTTCGTGACAATTGCCAATAATATATTTTTGTTGACTATTTTCACACAAAGTTTGACCACAAACTCCTCGTGGATTCGACCCTTACTTACCCTAGCTATCTAGCGGTTTTGAGGTTATTTTTTATCGAGACAACGACCTCGATCAACCATCTTAACTCGTCGAGTCCTTCCCTGGACTCGGCGAGTTCTTCAGTCTGTTAAGCCTTTCTTAATGGATTAAGCCACTATTCTTCATATCTAAGCTCAAATCTTCGAATACACTCTGGAAATGACCTTAGGAGGGTAAAGTTTCCAACTTTACCCGTTAATACCCTCACTTAGTGGATATAACTCAAACCCTAACTCTTAAGGGCCTAGATCTTGGTCCACAAGCCAACCGTACACCAAACTAATGCATCCAAACATAGATCTGGACCCAAACATCTCATAACCATGCAAAGCTCCTGCCTTTTTCCTTCCATACATGGCCTTTTGAGCTAAAGAGGCCAAAAGAACACTCTATTGTTTGCATGGGGACTCCTATGGCATAAAGTTTGCACCTTTATGCCATAACAACCCTTTATGGTTCTAGATCTGAAAACATAAGTCTTTGGGACGTCCATTTTCCACATGCTAGGGTTCTTGGACCAAAAACCCTCATAAAATGACCAAGAAGAGATCTATCAAGTTAAAGGTCAAGGTGGAAACTTGATTACGAGAAAATGATGAGGATATGGTGTGCTTCAGGATCTACACTTCCTCTCTTGAATCCTCAAGGTTTCTCCTTCTTCTCCAAGCTTCAAGGCACTCAAGAACACTCATAAATGGCTCACAAGTTCATGGAAAGCAATAGGGTTTCGTGGGTTAGGGTTTGGACAGTGGGGGCTGAGAACGGGGTTGAAAGGTGGAGAATAAGATGCTTAAATAGGGGACAAAAACCCGAATTTAGGGTTTCCCAAACCCAGACCAACTCGCCGAGTAGGTCACTTAACCCGCGTCACAAAAACTCACTCCTACTCATCGAGTCATCCCTCAGGACTCGACGAGTAAACTTCTTGACTTGAGGTTTTCCTTTCTTTTCTAGGTCTTCTGGATTCCGGGTGTTACACAATAAACAAGAAATCATGATGCATGATGCATGGTGTTACACATACGCCTTCATGTTATATTCTTAGAACGTTCGGTAAAAATCAAACCAATCACTCAAATCGGTATAAAATTTCATTTTTACCTTATCGATAAGTTTTTTAGAGAAACGTCTGACCACAAGATTGGAAAGGACCCTTTTTTTATTTATGTTATTTGAGTTATCTTGCCGACATTAGGATTATATTCTAACATTCTTCTCCGAGTCTTTAGAGTTGTTTGATAGCCACTTAACAGAACCATTCATTTTGTCACTTTTGAATTCAATGGGTTTAATAACGACATCTTACAAAAAAAATCATTTTAATGGTTAAGGAACCCTACCTTCATGCGTAAATAAAGACATCTGATCCACAAAAATAAAAAATAAATAAAAATAAATAAATAAAAATTCCTTTTAACACCTAAGGATCCTACCTTCTTAGACCCATTAAAAGACCCAAGTCATTATGCACTAAATGGTTACGTTTTTTCAAGAGCCCCTAAATACTAATAAGAAAAATTCATTAGTTCTTTTTAGCCCCTATCTTTCTCTATACTTGTTTCCTCTAAAAATGGTTTTCTAATTACAAAAGTTATCCATGTCTCATGTTTATAAAATTTGAATCAATCTAATTGAGGAGTAGAAGTAGGATCAGGTAGGAACTCAAAAAATGGTAGAAACCGCGAGGACGATTTTTGGCCTTAAGATTGAAAAAATAAATGGTATTTTATTTATCGTCAAAATCTCGCGAGATGATATGACATTTTTGTAATTAATTGCGAGATTTTGATAATTTATGGGGAAGGTTAATTGTTTTGAGGATACAAGTGACAAAAGCAAAAAGATTAAAAGAAAAAGAAAAAATGTTAGGTCATAAAATTTTCTTTCTTTGAAAAAAAATTCTGAAAAAACCAAAGTTCTTAAAATTTAATTTTCTACAAAATGAGTACAATCATAAAAATTTGAAAAAAAAAATTATTTTTTATATTTAAAAAAAAACCAAGAAAAAAATTCTCCAAAAATTATAAAAATTTAAGGAATATTTCTACTCACTATTCTAATGACTTTGTAAAAAGAATTTTTTAAAAATAAGGTGTTTTAGATACCAAACTTGATTTTAAAAGATTAAAAGTTTTTTTAAAAAAATGTTGAACATAATATGATGTAATAGAGATGATTCAAAATATTTATGTTTCAAAAAAATTATGATTCAATATGTTTATGATCTAAAAATATTTTGATTCAAATATTTAATGATCCTTAATTATTATATTTTTTATAACTCAAAATTAAATGATTCAAAAATTATAAAGATCCAAATGTTATATTGAACAAAAACTTTATTCAATTCAATATATTATGATCCAAATTAATATGATCCAAAAATGTATGATGCATAATATCTTTATGATTCAAAATACTATGATTTAAAATTTTATGATCCAAAAATAATATGATTCAAAAAAAGTGTGAATGGAAAACATTATGATCCTTAATATTCTTCTTGTTTAAAATTTTATAATTGTTAAACATTAAAAAACTCAAACCCATATTTAGCTTAAAAAATCAAAAAATAAAAGAAAATTTTTAAAAAAAAAAACACTATTATCTTCAGGTATGTAGTAAAGATATTTAAAAAAACAAAAAAAAAAATTAGAAAAACGAAAAAAATAAAAATAAGCAAAAAATAAAAAAGACGAAAAAATATAAAAACATTAAAACCGAGCATATATCTATTTAAGAAAAAAATTGAATTTTTTTTAACAAAAAATTAAAATAATAATAAAAAAAACAAAATAAATGGAAAAAAAAAAAGGAAAACTCATTTAAATGACGTTATATGGACGTTCGTCACGTATGATTATTCTCTCGAGTCTGTATTACGTTCCATGCACGAGTGCCGAGTGCGAACGCGTCACAACCAAGTAAATAGGTTTGACGTTTGTGTCCTTGACAAAATGATTGGTAAATAATAGTCATCGTGGTTCGTACCAATTTTTTGGTTCCTACCAGATCCGGACCCTTGAGGAGTAAAATTCAAAATCTTCCACAGATAATTAGAACTTGAGAATTAAGGACCTAAATGGATACCAAGCCGTCGACCAGCGTCTTCTTAGGGTTACTTTTTTGTAAGGGGGCGGAGCCCCACCTGTATGAACTTGTGTTGATCTGTGTAGCTGGGCTCAACCCTATTCTAGTTACGGTTATTTTTTTGTACTTTGTCTATATAACAAGGCTAAGCTAGGGTTTCTACGGTACTATCATTTTCAAACTCGTTAACATGAATTCCCTTCTTCCCAGTGTACGAATATACGACGTAGGTCACACCGACCAAACAATATTAAATAATGTGTCTTTGTGTGGGATTTATTCTCGTTATTCCTAACATCAAAAATATTCACAATTACAATTACAAATTATTCACATGTACAATTATAAACCCTAACTCGGAAGTTCAAGTTGTACTACTTTTAATTTGTCTAAACCCATAACCACCTCTTTCATGCTTTGTCTTTCCTTCACATTCTTTCTCATACATGTCTTAACAAGCTTAGTGACCTGAAATATATCATCCATCAGAGCTTCATCTAGAACTTGCTGGTCTAAAATTTCAAGCACACGTTTCTGCTTGACTAAGAACTGGAAATGTGAAACCAGACCTTCACCACAATTTGTTGAAGAAACAACTGTTCTTCGGGTTAAGAGCTCCATAAGCACTACACCAAAGGCATAAACATCACTTTTTTCAGTAAGTTGCCCCGACCGGAAATACTCTGGATCCAAATATCCAAATGTGCCTTCAATTTTTGTAGTTAAATGAGTTCTGCTGAGAGGTATGGACCTTGAAAGTCCAAAGTCAGAGACTACAGCTCTGTAGTTCTCATCCAATAAGATATTATGTGGCTTAACATCCCTATGGAATATGGCTGGGGATGCATATGAGTGCAAATAGGCTAGTGCGCCTGCAACATCCCTAGCCACTCGTATACGATCTTTCCATGAAAATTTGGAAACTTCTGCCCCGTCATGAAGATGTTGTGAGAGGGTGCCATTGGATAAATACTCATATACCAATAATGGGACTTCAGACTCCAAGCAACAACCTAACAGTTTAACTATATTCCTATGGTTTATCTGTGAAAGAATGAAAACTTCATTAACAAATCGTTCTACCTGATCTTCATCTACTACGTTTGACCTCTTTATGGCTACAATGGTTCCATCTGTCAAGAAACCCTTATACACTGTACCCTGTCCTCCCTTGCCTAGTAACCGGCTTTGACTAAAATCGTCAGTTGCCTTCTCTATCTCTTTGGCAGCATAAACTTTTATTTTCATTACATGTGATTTATTAGCAGAGATATGCTGCTTTAATAGATATCCACCATTCCTTTTGAAGAACTCCTGCTTGATCTTATTTTCCTTTCTTCTGCCAAGTTCCTTATATGCGTAGTGACCAATCGCACCAAAGGAAAAAATTCCAATCACAGATGCAATAATAACTGCATGGTGAAGTTATGTTTAGCTGCAAATATGTATGTATGTCTGTGTGTGTGTTTCTTTGTGTGTGCATATTTATCTATTTGTCGCTTACACGATCAGAGAGAACGTAGGGGTGATTTACCTGAGATGATTAAAATGTGTCTATGTGAGGAAGTGCACTTGTAGCTCCCAGGTGTATTAATGCAAAGCTGATCCTCTCTACAAGGATAGTTGTTTGGGCAAAGACATTCGTTGATATCTATTTTTGAGGATATCCAGAAAACATAGACCCGGTTAAATCTTATATGATGATATTACATAATTTACAAATACGATGGTATATGTTTTATCGACAGCTTTGCAAGCAATATATCCATGTACTCAAACAGTTATATGATGTGGACATGGACAATATTAATTGCATTCCATGATTGTACCAGGTGAAAATAGAATTATTTCAGTACGTACGTCTACATGAGAAGAGGAGTGTATGCAGAGTGGTCAATAGCTTCACTGTGTAGTTTTCTGTTATGGTAATCGGATATTACCTTGGCATCCAATGTGAAGGTAAGGGTTCCCGCTGTAACCATTCTTGCAGCGGCAGTTATGTCCCAGACCTTTGGCTGAGTCGATGCACTCACTGTTCTTGCCACACAAACAGCTTCCTCTTAGTTGAGCACGGTGGCAACTGGTTAATGTTATAACCCAATTTAAGACCACAGGAAAATGGTATGAAGTTAGTGTATAGCCAAACATAGATGTTTCTAGAGTATAGTTCTTTTCAGCAATGAATACATGACTGCATGGGGTCTTGGGGCCATGATTGGAAATTACAGCCTTATATGCATTGGTTTCGACTGGGATACTACTTTGGCAGCAACCATTTGAGCCATTACAAGCGAAAAATCCACTGGTAGGGGTTGTGATACAGCAAGAAGCGCATCTAGCTTCTCTGAAATGCGAGGGACTCAATGATTGAAAAATAGCAGATATGTTACACCCCACTGCTATATAGACATTTTTTGTATGTGAATATCTAAAGTGTGGATCCAGTTGAAATTTTTTAGCACCTGCTTTGGTTGCAGATTCATTAATACATCCGAAAGGTACCTTACCAACTATACGTATGGACTCCATGGAGATTTCTGAAATTAGGAATTTATCATTATTTACAAATCGAAGAGGAGAAACATATGGTGATGATTCATTGCACGAGACTTCAAATGATGTGTTCAAGAAACAACCGGTCCCCATGCCATATGGATATGGGACAGTTATGTTACCACATCTCTCCTGGCAACCAGGCTTCGCTAGAGAGGCTCGTGCCTCATGCACCCACAACAAAAATGGCATTGCAAGCATGAATGATTTTGCTAGCATTTTGTATGTGTTTTCAGATTTGTTACGATTATTGATCAGAATGAGTTACATACGAAGAGTTATGGGACAATATTTTAAGTTTATTGTTGGGAATCTTCAAAAACCGTTTACATTTTTTAATCTTTAAGCAACATTGTTTTCATATATAATGCGCTTAAGTTTATAATGCGCTTAAGAGTTATGGGACAATATTTTAAGTTCATTGTTGGGAATCTTCAAAAACCGTTTACATTTTTTAATCTTTAAGCAACATTGTTTTCATATTTAAGCACATTTTTTAAGGAAAAGTGCTCGGCACACTTTGTGATCATCAACGACCAACTTTTAGCAGTACGTGCATTAAAAAAGGCCAAAATAGGTATCAACAAGCAGTTTACTTTACTTCTATTGGGACTTGAACATACTCATTTTTTCACTTGGTTAATTATGTTTACGATTTTTTCATTTTAATCGACTAACTTATGAAATTACAGAAATGGTCCCTGTGGTTTGCTCAAAATCACATGTTTGGTCTAACTTTTGAATAGTTGATAGGTTGTGTCCATGTGGTTTCAAACAATTGTAGTGTTGATCCTTTTATTGGATGCCATTAAGACTCAGACGTTAAGTCTGAGTAAAAGACTAATAAACCCCTTACTTTTTTATTTTTCTATTATTTTTTATTTAACAAAACTACATGGACAAAATGTGTACTTTGAAAAAAATAAAAAATAGAAAATAAAAACCTAAATTATTTATTACTAGTCGATCATCTTCCCACCCGACTCACCGGCTCCAGTTCAATCCCAACATTTCTCTTCTCTGATGGATTAGTCGTCGGCATGTGTTGTCGTAGCAGCATATCCTTCGATAACATGGGCTCATGTACCCTTCTCAATCTAGAACCTAGTTGTACCTAAACAGCTCCCTTCAGGATCACCTTACACCGTATAAGTCCCTAACGATCCCCATCCCTCACTGTTTTGCGTCTCCGATCATCCTCATCCCTTCAATCTCCCCTTAGCACCTTCATCTCATGTTGCGTCTCTAGCAGACCATATCCCTTCGATATCCAGTTTCCAATCTTTACATTCATTGCTACTCTCCATCATCCACCTTCTTAACAGATCTATAACAAAAGACGTTCTCAAACCTTGATGGTGAACATGGAAGATAAGATTGTTTCTTTTGGAGAGGGGAGGGAACAAAAACATGTTGCAAATCCAAATTAGAAGTAGAGATCAAATCAGGAAACCGAAACCAACAAACAAATCCCATGGCATTAGCCACTGGCAGGGTTAGGGTTTTGACTCGACCATTCCACCAGGTCAAAGCTCTGTCGGTGAAGGTGCAGACGGCGAACTTCACCTTGTTTACTTCGGAACAGGAGCAAATTTCGAAGATGGATTCGATCTTCTCGAACCATCGAGTCAGCGCGATGAGTCCTCCGTTTCCGTCAAAGGACTTGGGTTTTGCGGTCATGAAGTCCTTGTAGGAACACTCCTTTTGATGCCCTTGACTTCTGTCTTGCCGTTGGGGGTCGGTTCCACCTCCAGCCCCACCAGAGTTCACTTGTGCCATTGCTGCGGTTACAGCGGCGGTAACTGCTGCCTGGAACATGACGGGATCGAACTGGGGTGGTGGTGGTGGCGGCGGAGTGTCGTCCCTTCTGTTGGGTCTTGGTCGAGGAGGCATCTTTTTCTAGAAACAATCAGGAAGAAGAGGATGGTAAGTCCTCAAGATATATGAAACATGATATATCTCATCCTGATAATGAAAGCATTCTACCAAGCGATAAGCACATGAAGGTTACTAATGCAAGAAAGTTATCGCTACGAAATAGATAGGTAGCAATACTAAGAATGAATCTCTTCATCGAATTTGGCTCTAGCAAAATACTCCTACAGTATTTTATGATGAAAGTTTTTGGTAAGTTTTAGGCCTGCTGTAACACCACCGTCACTCCCAAGCACATGTTGGTCATGTTTTGACTGAATATAGTTGATCAGGCTATATTCACCCGAAACATGATTACATAACTGCCCAGGTTTGACCGCAGTGTCCCAACATCCAAATACTTTTTGTGTTGTTCCACTAATGACACGAATTCTGTTATGCATGCATGCTCGTATACTTTTTATAAAAATATTTATATTTTTGAAAGTATACTTTTAGTGTAGAGCACTTAGGCCCCTTTAGTGTTTATAGTTGTATACCATGTAAGGTTCGGTATACTAGTTCGCTATAAACAAGGGCTCTGATACCAATCTGTCACACCCCAAAACCAGAATGGCGGAAACGTTTTGGGGTGGAGGACGTCATGTATAGCATCACAACCAATGTATAATAGCAATCATAGCAATGCAACCATTACATTGAATACTTAAATAAAAATGTTTACATCAATTTGGAAATTGACAGAAACTTGTTTGAATTACATTGTATAGTTTGTATGAATATAAACATTAAACTCTTATTGCTCCAATTCCTCAAAAACTCAGCAGGTACCTGTCTACTGATTTCCTGAGAATACAAGCAGTTTAAAATATCAGCATAAAGCTGGTGAGTTCATAAGCAGTAGTTTGTAATGAAAACTTGTTGATGAGCTAGCTGAAATGTTTGTATAGTTTCAAGAAAATCCGATATTTTTCTTTAGTGAAAATTTAGTGTTATCAGTTCTGTAATAAACCATGAATATCTGTAGGTTTCCAAGAAAATCCGATATTTTCTTTAGTGAAAATGTAGCGTTATCAGTTCTGTAATAAACCATGAATATCTGTAGGTTTCCAAGAAAATCCGATATTTTCTTTAGTGAAAATGTAGCGTTATCAGTTCTGTAATAAACCATGAATATCTGTAGGTTTCCAAGAAAATCCGATATTTTCTTTAGTGAAAATGTAGCGTTATCAGTTCTGTAATAAACCATGAATGTTCGTTACTGAAAACTGTAGTGATATGCGAAAATACTACCTCATGTGACTAGCTAAAGCTAATCATGAAGTATAAGTATTTTGTATGTGAATCCATTGCATAATTGGTTCTGTTTGAAAACCCTGGCTTTGGCCAATATACGTAGTGTGTTTTAGTTCTATTTTGTATAGATAAAACCGTTGAAGAGTGTCAGATTGTAAACTAAAGGTGATTTATACATAATGTGAGTCGTATAACCATGCTTGATATGACTAGAGACCTTTCCAACGTTCTTCAGGCGTCGAGTTAAATGACATTTGTCACCCTAGGCATGCCTGCCTAACTGTAGCTAGCAGTTCGGGTGTGGGATTGTCAGTCCCGAATAGATCTATTCACAAATCTCACGCTCTCCCTCCAGGAGACTCTGGTTATACTATGATAGGATTTATCCCTGTACACCTAAGGGTACAGTATTGAAGTAGTGCCTCACAATATCGTACAATCTAGTTTACATGTAGTGTAGTAGCGTTCTACCATAGTGAAAATTCGTATGAATACCGTGTATAGTGATATTTATAGTGATAACGTAGTGATGTAAACTGTAAACTATTCATGTCTTAGTGCATATGTTTAGTAGTGAAAATTCATGTACTTGTCATATTTAGAAAATCCCAAACTATACCGATTATAGTTTGCATGTATAACGTAGTGAATAGCGAATCCGGAAAACTATGCAATTTTAGTGAAAAACGACCCTTATGCTCAACACAGTACAAAAGGGGTTAAAGTATGAGAATTGCATGAGTTTTGAAAGCATTTATGTTTAACTTTTATCCTCCCTCTGAAAACATTAAAAACACGGTGAAAGTAGGGGTATGAACTCACCTCGGGTAAGTGGTTTGATTGAAAGATCGATACGAAGAGTCGGGTGTTCAAGTGAAGCCTTGAACACGATTCGATCCTAATAACATGCAATGACACATAAACGAGTCAATGAAGGTATTTCACCACTATATGTGATGGAAAACCACTCTAGGGACTTGAAACTATTTGCACCAAGTGATAGGACCTTGTAGGGTGGACTGTAGGGGGTGTATGGCCACCTAGAGTGTGTGTGCGGCCATGAGTGTGCGGCCCAATGGGTGTGCGGCCGTACACTCATGAAATGAGGTGTCTTCGAAGTGTTCTCAAGGTCCCTACTCACATCCACTAAGTGTTCAAGGTCTATACTCAATTGTAGTGCAAGATAATGGTCCTAGAAGTGGGTTTATGGTCCTAGAATGGGTGTATAGTCGCACACAAGAGTGTGTGGTCGCACACTTGGGTGTTCTGCCGCACACTTGGAGTGTGGTGCCGCACAAGGGTGTGTGCGGCCATACACAGGTTTGTGCGGCCGTACACAGGTGTGTGCGGTCGTACACCCCTCAAAACGATACCCAAAATGTCCATTCCAAGGTGCAACAAGGCTAGGGGCATGTCTACATCGATTATGGAAGTTAAACTCTCACTTTGGAGTGTGTTTTAAGGGTGTGCGGCCACCCTAAGAGGGTGTGCGGCCGCACTCACTTCCAAGCACGAAGAACATGATGTTTTTGCACACTTAGAGCTTGGATAGAGTGGTCTTTCATGGATTGCAAGATAGAGAATGAAGTACTCACGTTCTTGAAGCTTTGGAAGGTTCAAAGTTGGAGAAACTTGAGAGGAAATGATGTTGTGTGCTTCCAAGGTGCTAAAGGAATGAAAGGAAGGGGGCTACCCTTTATATAGGGGTAAGGGTGCTGCCCAAAAGTGAGTGTGCTGCCAAGGGAGTGGGTGTGCGGCCGCACACCCATGTGTACGGTCGTACACTCCTCCAAGAGGTGTGTATGGCCCGACTTTCTCATTATTCAACACCCTGACTCATTCCTAACCTCAACCTTGGTTATATACAAGCTTAGAACACTTAAATGAACCCTTAAATAGCACCAGAAATCAACAAAACAAGTTGAATATTGATTGAATTGACTAAGTGCACAAGATTGAAGTTTCCGGGTTGTCACAATTTTTATGTCATTCATTCTCTCGTTCCTACAGTAGCCGATCATATGGGGCCGATGGTAGCTTGGTGGTGG